CCATGTGCCCTTATTATAGTAACTTAAACTAAGTTCCTTAACAGCAACCCAGTTTCCGATCGTGGGCTTGCCAATTCGAGGTGCTTGGGCGAGTCACTGCCCCCTGGAAGCTGTTCTGAGCTCAATGAACTGGGGCTAGGGTTTAGGGTTTAGGGTTAATAGGGAAGTGTAGGGAATAAGGGAATATGTTGGGGTAATATAGGGATAATGGACAACAACATGGAAACTACTACATTATGATAGGGTATATTGGGGTTAGCAGGGAATCAGGGAATTACATAAGGATGATATAGGGATTCTCTTCCCTTCTTCCCTACAAACCGCCAGAAAATCAAAGGAGCCGGACATCGCTCATGGCATCATTTTCGGTATCTGGCAGTTTCCTAAAATAGGGACACCTACCTTATTCTAGGGACTCCGAAAATGGGACCCCTCATTTTTGGAAAGCCTCATGTAGAAGGGGTAGTATTGCAGGTTTCTCCTGAGGTCAGGTATCAGGTTTACAGGGTTTTGGCCCATTAAGACCTAGGACCCCCAAACCGGTAGCCAACCAGAGCGTTTAGAATTTAGGGTTTAGGTAGCGGTTTAGGGGAACCTTTAAATGAACCACAAAGGTACACTGCGTATAGAAGGCAGATGTGTAATTCTGGTAAGCGCTATGCCTTGAAACCCGCCCTTAAGCCCCTATGCGAATCTAAGCCCTGAGGTTTCACCCGGAACTCCCCAAACCCAAGCCCAAATCCCAACCTATACAACCAAAACCCTTAAGACCATACCATCCATCCACCGAAAATCCTCAACCCAAAGCCCTCAACCTTAATCCTTAAACCCCAAACCCGAACCCTATCGCAGGCCCCAACAACTTTGGGAAGACTTTGGGAACGAGGCCCCCAGCACCCTGCATTTTAAGCCACCTAGCAGTTTTAGCATTTTTGGGATTGGGGATTAGGGGGTAGGGTTTGGGGATTAGAGTTTAGGGCGTTTAGGGTTTGGGTATTAACCCTAAACAGGGGATTAGGGTTTAGGGTCTGCGGGATGAGGGTTAGCGCCTGGGCTGTAGGATTTAGGGTTTAGGAGCTTAGGAATTTAGGGTTTAAAGTTTAGGGTTCATAGGGTCTGGAGAGTCTGAGCCCCCCAGGTGAATTTAGTACCCTAAACCCGAGCCATGCAGACTCTATTGCAGACTCTATTGCAGCATGCTAGATGCTTCTCCATGGAACATGAGCAATAGTCTAAACTCCTCAAAGGGGGTTATATAGCGCATCATAAAGGAAGTAATATAGGACTAAGGGAGATATTAGGAGTTTAGCCTATGGCTCACGGGAGGCAATACAAGAAGGGCTGTGCTGAAGTGGTTCTTGGGGTCGATCTGTGCATTGCAGGAGCGAGTCGCGGATTGGGTGTGATCTAAACCTTGACGCCGAAACAACTACCCCCCTGGACCCTCAAGCCCTCGAACTCGCAAATCATGAAATTCCGCTCGGGTATAGAAGGTTCGAAGAGGCACACGCGCAAGCCAGAATCAGAAGTTCCTGACCCTAACCCATATTGTGAAGTTCTTAAACCCTTCAGTGCCAGCAGGCAGCCTGCGAATTCGGGAAGCTCCTGAAAGATATTTCAGCGCAAGTGGTGTCAGGAATTAGGGCTTTGGGGTTTTGGGGCTAGGGTTTAGGGTACCCCAGACCCTAAAACCGACATGTCCTCTCTACCTCCTTAATAACCCCAGAGGGGATGGAGGGTCAGGGAAGAACCTTTTGCAGCTACAGTTTCTTCCCCGGACTAGCATAGGTTTGGGGGCCCTATGCGAATTAGATCGTCATGGCTTTGTAAGGATTCTAGTGGGGTTAAAAGGTAACACAAATAAAAACATGTTCAAGCCAATCCCTAAACCCTAAACCCTAGACCCCTAAACCCCTAAACCCGAGGTTTTGGGCTGAGGGCTGTGGTGTCAGAGCCCTGAAATGCATTGGTAAAAAAGAGCTAGAATACCGGGAAGATGTGGGGGCTTACAGTGTCTCGGAGTACAGGGCGTAAGGTAGAATACAGGGTTTAGGGCTTAGAGGGTAGAATATGGGAATATATAGGAATTTACAGGGTCTAGGGGTACAGGTTTTAATTTAGGGAACGGGATGACTTTACGGGTTAAGGCTGGGGGTTCTTGGGGATCAGGGTTTTGGGATTGGGGCTTGGGGATTTGGGATTTAGGGATCAGGTTGAGGGCTTTGGATTAAATTTGTAGTACATCCCTTAATAGGTCCCCCGCAAAACCCTATATATTCCCTTTTAGGTCCCCCCAACCTAAATTCAGTCCGTAGCTCATGTGACAACTGTATGGATCTATTTTCTGGGCAAGCTCCTTATCACTACATGGCACTTAGGACCCCTACTAAGGGTTAACCCTTAGGTACCTATAATAGGAGTATAAGGGAATCCCAGAGGGTTAAGGTCTAAGGTCCGAGCTAAGTCCCAAGGAGATCAGAATCGCATGAATGATCTAGGAAGCTCATTTCGAAGGTTGGGCCGTGCACCTTCTCAGCCCCCAAACGTGTTTAGGGTCTAGGGTTCAAACGGAATAAGTCACGGGCTTCATGCAGGATTACCTCGGATCTTCATGGGCCCTTCATGCTCTGAACCCCTAAAGGTTTAGGGTTTAGGGTTCTTATCCCAACCCTAAACCCTAAACCCTCGGCCCTGAACCAGGAATCTTGCACCTGGAACCTGCACAGGGACCACGAGACAAGGGTTTAGGGTTTAGGGTTCAGGGTTTAGGGTTTAGGGTTCAGGGTTTAGGGTTTACAGCACTTTGAGGTTCATGGTAACTATTAACTAACTTCTAAATCCAATAGTTATAAGCCTCCTAAAGTCTCTCAATATGCTTCTGATTGAATTAGAAAGAGTACCAGTCAGCAATATCACTTTGAGGTGCCCTATAACCATTTCTATTCCTGGTAGCTGTGTAATCCCAACATTATTACGTTGAGGTCTATTTGAAGTGCCCTATAGCCATGATTATTTCTTGGCCAGTTGCTATGATGAGGCCCTACATGAGCTATGTCTAAACTCCTAGTTTCCCCCTTAATAGGCTCTATAATATTCCCCTATATAACCCCCTCTAAGGAGTTTAGACTACAGCTCACCTGAACCCCTGGCCTTCATCGTCAGCGGGACCGGGCCGTCTGGCAAGCAACCGATTTGCAAGCTACCCTTACTGGCCGCTCTGACTGCTGCGGTACTTCGAGCCTGTTGGGTCACAGGGGTTTAGAGTTTAGGGTTGAAGGTTCTAGGGTTTAGGAAGGCAAAGAACCATCACTGTGTGGCACTTGAAAGGTCCCAAAACGAGTTATGAGTAGGTTCCCTTAGACCGCGATAGGGGAAATCATCAATTATCCCAAAGTGCCACCTAGATGGATGTTCTGTTGCCAGTGCTGGATGCATTCTGATCATCGCCAATTTCAGTGCCACTCATGGGGCTGTTGCGAAGAAAGTTGGGGGTTGCGATTCTGCCCGACTGCTTTAGAATCTTGATTCTGGACGGTGCGTGCAAGCAGAAATTTGCGATGGTAATGGCCTCCTGCCCAGCCCCTCATCCACCCATCAGCTTGCATACCCAACCTCGGGACCCAAGCAGCAGCACCACCACCGCCGCCACAACCGCCAGCGCTACCACCACGACCATCCAGAAACAAGCACAGCAACTATGTATCAAATTGCTGCATGACAGCATGACCTCTTGGCCAAAGGTACTAGACTGGACCACAGAAGAAGACCCACATAAGCAAAAATCACACAATCTCATGCGCAGCTTTTCCCATACCGCTGCAATCTTTCCGACGTCCGCCCAGACGGGATCCCTCGACCAGTGCCAGGCCACTAAGCCCTGGCTGTCCAAGGGCTGCACAACCGCCTGATCAACATCTCGTGGCTCACCGCATGTTTCGAGCCTTGAGATTCAGGTTGCTTCGATTGGCGGACGAATTTGGCTCAGGCGCCTCGTGGTCGAATGGGCTTCCTGTCGCAAATGGCGGCATGCCAACTGCTGCTCAAACACTTGAAGGTTGAGTTGGCGTTCTTCAATGTTGGTACCTTGACTGAGATCTGCTTCTGAGGCTGTTGCGACTGGAGCATGAATGTAAACGATACAGTCACTAAAGCTTGCCTCATGCAAGCCATATGGAAACATCCGCACGAACATGCGCCGTTCCTGTTCGTCTTTCTCTCTCTCTCTCTCTATCTCTATCTCTCTGTGTTTCTGTAAGCCGAATAATACTACAAAACAAGTGCGCGCGCGCGTGTGTGTTTCCATTTGATGCAACATTACTGGAATAATATCCTTAACCTTGGGTACTGCCCCCACCCAGTAACAGTCTATATTAGGGGTCCTGTTAAGGGCTATATATAACCATATTATAAATATCATCCAACTGTTACTGAGTGGGGGCAGTACTAGCCCTGCCCTAAACCCTACTCCTTCATCTTCGGACAGCCCCCTTCTCGGGGTTATTCAACATTGGGGTCTGCAACACCACATTGCTATCCTTGAGTTGTCATGCAAAAGAAAAAAGCTCAGAGCCTGTGCAGCCGTTACTATTAAAAGATTGACCCTAAACCCTAAATCCTCAAACCTAACCCTACGACCTAAACCCTAACTGACATTAGATGGCAGAATACTAAATTCCCATGATGATGGCTACATAGGCTCATGCAGCATGGTCACAATATTATGGACTGCATGTAATTGTATTGTGAATATTACCCAAGTGTAACTGAGGGGGGCAGTATCCAACCTACACCCTAAACCCTCCGCGCTTAACCTTGCGCCCAAAACCCTATGCCCTAAACCCTAGACCCTATGCCTTAAACCCTAAACTCTATGCCTTAAACCCTAAACCCTAAGCCATATGCCTTAAACCCCAAACCATATGCCTTAAACCCTAAACCCAATGCCTTAAACCCTACACCTTAAGCCCTGTACTGCCTCCCAGCTGTCAGCAAAGCCTTCATCAGTCAGCTCCTGAGCTTCTCGGAACGGCACAGGGTTTAGGGCTTTGGGCCTTAGCTAGGGTAGGTTCGAGGGCCCTACCAAACCTAATTTCTTATGGCTTTATTAGAAAGTGTATTGGGATAAAGGGTTATGGAAATATACATATGTACAACGGTTTGGGGCTTCAAATTTTCTTTTCCAAAAAAAGCTACTCGGCCACTCCATGACGATCAATGGACACCCCACACACACACACACACACTTGCAGGCATCCCCGTAGGGATGTAGAAGG